AACAGTCCCCCTTTTTCTTTTTTGTGAAGGACAGCAGGAGCCTTGCCAGAAATCAACTGGCTGACACCTGTAACTGTCAATCATCTGTCAATCACCTGACTGTGAGTCAGTGAAAGGACCCACAGCTCTAAAGCGCTTCCTCCTTTAACACAGCCACACCTCCTCTTGCAATACTTAGTTGTTGTACCCAGCAACTAAGTCAGACAAAGTCAGGTTGTGACACCCTGCCTTAGAGTGTTGCCCTGCAGTTTGGCTCTCCCAATCAACTCTTTTTTTTGAGGGGAAGGCGTCAGTCATGGGGCTTGAACTCTGGGGCCTGGGTGCTGTTCCTCAGCTCTTCAACTCAAGGTTAGCACTCTTACCACTTGAACCACAGTGTCCTTTCCAGTTTTTCTGGTGGCTTATTGGAGATTAGAGTCTCATGCAGGGGCTGGGAAGGTGGCTCAGTGGTAGAGTGCTTGCCTTGCATACATGAGGCCTTGGGTTCGATTCCTCAGCACCATATGAGCAGAAAAAGCCGGAAGTGGCACTGTGGCTCAAGTGGTAGAGTACTAACCTTGAGCTGAAGAGCTGAAGGACAGCACCCAGGCCCAGAGTTCAGTCCCCATGACCGACCAAAAAAAAAAAAAAAAAAGAACCTCATGGACTTTCCTGCCTGGGCTGGCTTTGAACCGTGATCCTCAGATCTTTGCCTCCTTAGTAGCTAGGATTACAGGCATGAGTTACTGGTGCCCAGCCCCCAATAAACTCTTTCTTTCTGTCTGAACTGTGTGTGGTCCTTTCACCAACCCTTACACTCAGGCCCTGAGTTCAAGCCTCATGACTGACACATGTAGTCCTAGCTACTCAGGAGGCTGAGATCTGAGGATCAAGCTTTGAAGCCAGCCTGGGCAGGAAAGTCTATGAGACTCTTACCTCCAATTAATCACAAAAAAAAGCCAGAGCCAGGCTCTGGTGGCTCACGCCTATAATCCTGGGTACTCAGGAGGCTGAGATGTGAGGATTGTGGTTCAAAGTTAAATCCAATCTCCCCATTTCAAAAGAACCATGGAGGAGCTGGGAAGGTAGCTCAGTGGTAGAGCACTTGCCTTGTATGAATGAGGCCCTGGGTTCGATTCCTCAGCACCACATAAGCAGGAAAAAAAAGCCGGAAGTGGTGGTATGGCTCAAGTGGTAGTGCACTAGCCTTGAGCTGAAGAGCTGAGGGACAGCGCCCAGGCCCAGAGTTCAAACCCCATGGAACCATGGAAATTTACTAAAGTGACAGAGGGCTGGGAAGGTGGCTTAGTGGTAGAGCCCTTGCCTTGCATGCCTGAGGCCCTGGGTTTGATTCCCCAGCACCACATAAGCAAAAAGAAAAAAAGCCAGAAGTGGCGCTGTGGCTCAAGTGGTAGAGGGCTAGCCTTGAGCTGAAGAGCTGAGGGACAGCGCCCAGGCCCAGAGTTCAGGCCCCACGACTGGACCCAAAAAAAAAAACAAAACAAAACAAAAATAAAGTGACAGAAAGAAGGGTCTTACTTCAAGGAATCAAGAACAGAAACAATTATGATAGCTTTGCTAACAGTACCAGGCGAGTTGTGTCTCCATCTCACAGGGTAAAGCTTTTCTCCTTGATCAGTGAGGGATAAGTTTCAGAATGAAAGAAAGAAAAGAGGTGTTAGCATTTCCTCCCTATCAGGTTCTTAGCCCCTCCCATTCCTTCTTAAAGAACTCTCCTGGGGGACTCCTACCAGGATGGGTAGGCACTCCTACTCTCTGCCCAGACCTAGCTGCACATGCAGAGTACCTCCCACCGCTCCCCCTCAAGTTATAAGGAAGCACCTAGATTGGAACAGGTGCCATATTGCCCCCTCTTGGGGTGGGGGTGGGGAAGCAGGAGAGAGGAGATGCTCTTTCTAATAAACGTCTTTATAAACCTCCTTCTCCTGTAGTGACTGTCTTCCCATGCTCTCCTGGGATGGATTCTTACAGGAGGAAGGAAAGAAAGAAAACAAAGGAAGGAGAGCTGGGTTCCAGTGACTCATTCCTGTGATCCTAGCTACTCAGGAGGCTGAGACCTGAGGATCATGGTTCAAAGCCAGACTGTGCAGAAAGGTCTGTGAGACTCTTACCTCCAATTAACCACCAGAAAGCTGGAAGTGGCACTGTGGCTCAAGTGGTAGAATGCTAGCTTTGAGCTAAAGAGCTGAGGGACAGCGCCCAGGCCCAGAGTTCAGGCCCTACCAAAAAAAAAACAAAACAACAAACAAACAAAGAAGAAAGAAGAGAGAAGGGAAGAAAAGGAAAAGGTGTGAAGGAAGAATTTTGCATCTTTTTTTTTTCTCTTGCCTGAATTGCCAGATGTCTAATCTTCAGCTTTGGGGTAGTATTATTTGTTAAAAAGTAATGAATCCAAAAGTAATTTAAAAAATGGCTTCTGAATACTTGGATATCAATATAAATGTTAGATATGCTGGGACAAAAGTAACTGACCTCAGCTGCAGAAGAGCAGAAACATGTTAGATTTATCACACTACTCAGAAGGGCAGGCAGCCAAAGATTTATGGATTGTTATTTCTAAAATGTTCCATTTAACATTTTCGAGCCATGGTTGACTGAAATCTCAGGTAGCTGAAGCCTCTAAAAGCAGAACTGTGGATAATGAGGGGAAAATGTTCCTCTATCTACATGGGAAATTGGTTCTAGGAGCTGACGGCTGACCTGTACTCTATTACTGTTAAAACCTGGCCCAGCACAGCCCATGGAAACATGTCTTCTCTGCAGTGATTATTTATTGATCCAATTCCTGTATCACTGCAAAGGCCCAGGTGATTCTTCATACTTAAGAGTTAAGATGGCTCTCAGTTCCCACAATTTCTTATTGTTACTTAGACTATTTGGCCAGCATGGCTGGGCATGGAAGTTTTAATTCTCCGTTACTTATTATGACTGAACGAATCCTTTGTCACCCCTCCCCATCCCCCCCCATAGTGAGCTTTGGTCACTTTTTAATGACTTTCCTCTTAGTGGGCCCAGTTGGCCCATAGCCCACTCTTCCAAGTTTCTTTAATTTCAGACTTCAAGATTATAATTTCATTTCCTTTTCCTTTGAAAGATCTCTAGAGTGATGATGGTGTTGATCAATATGCATTTGTTTCCTGGGATTGTCATAAGAAATTATTTTTTTGTTGTTGTTCTAGTTTTGGGATTTGAACTTAGGGCCTGGACATTGTCCCTGAACTATTTTTTTTTTTTGGGGGGTCCGGTCGTGGGGCCTGAACTCTGGGCCTGGGCACTGTCCCTCAGCTCTTCAGCTCAAGGCTAGCACTCTACCACTTGAGCCACAGCGCCACTTCCAGCTTTTTTTCTTTTTGCTTATGTGGTGCTGAGGAATCAAACCCGGGGCCTCAGGCATGCAAGGCAAGCGCTCTACCACCGAGCCATCTTCCCAGCCCTCCCTGAGCTTTTTTGCTCAAGGCTAGCACTGTACTACTTGAGCACACTTCAACTTCTGTGTGTGTGTGTGTGTGTGTGTGTGTGATTGGAAATAGGACTACCATGGACTTTCCTGCTCAGGTTGGTTTTGAACTACAGTCCTCAGATTTCAGCCTCCTGAGTAGCTAGGATTACAAGCTTCAGTTTTGTGATTTAAAGCACAGAAATTTATTCTCTCACAGTTCTAGAGACAAGACATCTACAGTGAAGGTGTTAGTGAGTCCACACTACCTGTGAGACTGTAGAAGGGAATCTTTCCTTCCCTCTTCTACCTCTTGGATCTTCTGGTGATTCCAGTCAACAGTTTCTTGGCTTGGAACAACCTCACTCAAATTAAGCCTCCATCTTCACATGGACTTTTTCTCTGTCTCCTTTTACATTTTTTTTGGAGGGGCTGGGTATCCATTAGTCTCACTTACAAGGCTAGCACTCTACCATTTTAGCCACAGCGCCACTTCCAGGTTTTTCTGTTGATATGATACTAAGGAATCCAACCCAGGGCTTTATGTTGCTAGGCAAGCACTATACCACTAAGCCACATTCCCAGCCCTAGAGATTCTTTTTTGTTGTTATTGATAGCTACAGCTCCATTTCTGCTTTTCTAGACATTAACTGGAGATAAGAGTTTCATGGCCTGTTCTGCTTGGGCTGGTTTAAGTGCAATTCTCAGATCTCAGCCTTCTGAGTAGCTAGTATTATAGGTATGAGCCACGCCACCTGGCTTTTTTTTTTTTTGCCAGTCCTGAGGCTTGAACTCAGGGCTTGGGCACTGCCCTTGAGCTTCTTTTTGTGCCCAAGGCTAGCATTCTACCACTTGAGCCACATTACTACTTCTGGCCTTTTCTGTTTATGTGGTAAGCCAGCCAGAGCAAGCAGGAAAGTGGGCAAATCTCTTATCTCCAATAAACCACCAGAAAGTTGGAAGTGGCACTGTAGCTCAAAGTGGTAGAGTACTGGCCTTGAGCAAAAAAGCTCAGGGATAGCACCAAGGCTCTGAGTTCAAGCCTCACAACCACCACCACCAACAACAAAAAGCAACCAAACATAATGTCTAGATCATAAAAGTCTGTATAAAAGATCGCCAGGGGGCTGGGAAGGTGGCTCAGTGGTAGAGTGCTTGTCTTGCATGAATGAGGCCCTGGGTTCAATTCCTCAGCACCACATAAGCAGAAAAAACCAGAAGTGGTGCTGTGGCTCAAGTGGTAGAGTGCTAGCCAAGGACAGCTCCCAGGCCCAGAGTTCAGGCCCCACAACCACCCAAAAAAAAAAAAAGATTGCCAGTTTATGGGCTGGGAATGTGGCTTAGTGGTAGCATGCTTACCTAGCACACATGAAGCCCTGGGTTTGACTCCTCAGTACCACATAAACAGAAAAGGCTGGAGTGGTGCTGTAGCTCAAATGGCTCTAGCCTTGAGCACAGAGAGGCTCAGGGACAGAGCCCAGGCCCTGAGTTCAAGTGCAAGGACCAGCAAAAAAAAAAAAAAGATTGCCAGACTAGTGAGGGAGGAGTCATCCAGGGTTTATCTTCAGTTCAACGATGGTTCTGTGGCGATGGAGCTTGCCTTGTAGGGATTTTTCACCAACTTGGCACACCGGAAAATCATCACAATTAGGAATAGAAACAGAAGAACAACAAAGGCAATGGCAAAGCCCGTGTCCACATCAACACTTCTGGACAGGCCTGAATCTTCCATGGGGACTTGCACCTGTTTACTGTTTCCCAGATGCAGCTACCTCTTCATTTGTAGCTTCTGATTGATTATAGTCCTAGATGAAAGAGTATTAAAAACAAGTGTTTGAGCTGGATGCTGGTGTCTCCTGCTTGTAATCCTAGCTACTCAGGAAGCTGAGATGTGAGAATCATGCTTTGAAACCAGCTCTGGCAGGAAAGTCTATGAGACTCTTACTTTTTCTTTCTTTCTTTCTTTCTTTTTTTTTTTTTTTAGTCATAAGGCTTGAACTCTGGGCCTGGGCGCTTCAGCTCAAGTCAAGTGCTCTACCACTTGAGCCACAGAGCCACTTCTGGTTTTCTGGTGGTTTAATGGAGATATGAATCTCATAGACTTTCCTGCCAGGGCTGGCTTTGAACCATGATCCTCACATCTCAGCTTCTTGAGTAGCTAGGATTACAGATATGAGCCACTGCCTCCCCCCCCCCCCAACTCTATGAGACTTCAATTAACCATTGAAAAAAGCTAGAAGTGGAGCTGTGGCTCAAGTGTTTGAGTACCAGCCTTAATCAAAATTGTTCAGGGACAATGCCCACACCCTAAGTTCAGGCCCCAAAATAGACATCAAAATTTTAAATTAAAAGTAAATAAATAATAATGTTTGGCCAATTGTGGCTTGAACCTATAATCCTAGCTACTCAGAAGACTGAGATCTGAGGATCACAGTTCAAAGCCAGCCCAGCTAGGAAAGTCTGTCAGATTAACTCCAAGTAACTAGCAAAAAAGCCCGAAGTGGAACTATGGCTCAAATAGTAGAGTTCTAGCCTTGAGTGAAAAAGCTAAAAATCAGTGCTAGGCCCTGAGTTCAAGCTGCAGTGTCAGTACACACACACACACACAAAAACAAACACAAACAAACAAAAAAAAAACTGTCTTGAACATCGTGTGTGTGTGTGTGTGTGTGTGTGTGTGTGTGTGTGTGTGTGTGTGTGTGTGTGTGTCCTGCCACTTGAACTCAGAGCTTGGGCTCTGTCTCTGAGCTTCTTTTGCTCAAGGCCACTTGAGGCATAGCACCACTTACAGCTTTTCTGTTTATGTGGTACTGAGGAATTGAACCCAAAGCTTCAAGCATACTTGGCAAGCATTCTACCACTAAGCACATTCCCAGCCCCTGAGCATCCTAATTCTGTGGTAGATCCCCGCCCCCACCCCCACAAGATTTCTTCAAATTCCAAAAACACTTAATTGTACCCTAATTTGTTGTATGATCGTAACTCAGTGGGTAGGGACATAAAGTTGTTTTACTTTTTTTTGGTCAGTCCTCTGGGTCTGGACATTGTGTTTGAGCCTCTTGTGCTCAAGGCTAGTGCTCTACTAGTTGAGCCATAGTGCTACTTCTGGATTTTTCTGAGTAGTTTATTAGAGAAAAGAGTCTCGTGGACTTTCCTGCCTGAGCTGGCTTCAAACAGCAATCCTCAGATCTCAACCTCCTGAATAGCTAGGATTATAAGCATGAGCCACCAGCACCAGCCTTATTTGTGTGTGTGTGTGTGTGTGTGTGTGTGTGTGTGGGGTCATGGTCCTTGAACTCAGGGCCTGAGCACTGTTCCTTAGCTTTTTTTGTTTGTTTGTTTGGTTTTTTTGGGGGGTCCGGTCGTGGGGCCTGAACTCGGGGCCTGGGCGCTGTCCCTCAGCTCTTCAGCTCAAGGCTAGCACTCTACCACTTGAGCTACAGTGCCACTTCCGGCTTTTTTCTTTTTTCTTATGTGGTGCTGAGGACTCGAACCCAGGGCCTTGAGCATGCAAGGCAAGCACTCTACCACTGAGCCACCTTCCCAGCCCTGTTCCTTAGCTTTTTTGCCCAAGGATAGCGCTCTATCATTTCAGTGCCACAACTCTACTTCTGGCTTTTTTGGTGATTATAGGTAAAAGTCTTAGGGACTTTCCTGCCCTGGCTGATTTCCTCAGAAAGCCTCCTGAGTAGCTAGGATATAAGTGTGAGCCATTGGCATCTGGTTGCTTAATTTTTTTCTAATCACTATGTTTATTGTACTGTCTTTTTTTTTTTTTTTTTTTTTGTTCGGTCATGGGGCCTGAACTCTGTGCCTGAGCGCTGTCCCTCAGCTCTTCAGCTCAAGGCTAGCGCTCTACCACTTGAGTCACAGCGCCACTTCCGGCTTTTTTCTTTTTGCTTATGTGGTGCTTAGGAATCGAACCCAGAGCCTCATGCATGCAAGGAAAGCGCTCTACCACTGAGCCACCTTCCTAGCCTCTGTGCTGTCCTTATCTCTTAATAAAAATCAGGTATAACCCAGAGGAGATCAATGTCAGTAATTATATCTTAGTTCATCAAACAATTCTGAAAAAGAGGAAAAAGGTCACAGGGCCTGCACTTAAAGTTACAGGGATCAAAAGAGAGTACTGCTGACAGACTTGCACTCTTCCACTTGAGCTACAGCTGCACTTCCAGTATTTTGTGATTCACTTTTCCGGCCTGGCTTCAAACAAGGTCCTCAGATCTCAGCTTCCTTGAGTAGTTATGGTTACAAGTGTGAGCCACCAGCGCCTGCCTTAGGTTTGTCTTAAAATAATAATAATAATAATACTGCCGGGCGCCAGTGGCTCACGCCCGTAATCCTAGCTACTCAGGAGGCTGAGATCTGAGGATCGTGGGCAGGAAAGACCGTGAGACTCCTATCTCCAATAAACCACTAGAAAACCGGAAGTGGTACTGTAGCTCAAGTGGTAGAGCACTCGCCTTGAGCTGAAGAGCTGAGGGACAGTGCCCAGGCCCAGAATTCATGCCCCATGACCCGGTGCTGGTGGCTCATGTCTGGCTCATGTCTGTAATCCTAACTACTCAGGCGACTGAGATCTGAGGATTGTGGTTCAAAGCCAGCCTGGGTGGGAAAGTTCCTGAGACTCTCATCTCCAGTTAACCACTAAAAAACTGGAAGTGGCGCTGTGGCTCAAGTGGTAGAGCTTTCCCCTTGAGCTGAAGGGCTGAGGGACAGTACCGAGGGCCAGAATTCAAACCCAATGACTCACACACACATGCGCGCGCACACGCGCACGCACACACACACACACACACACACACGCACGCACGCGCACACACACACACACACACACGCACACTTAGGACTTGGAATGTGGCTTAGTGATAGAGTGCTTGCCTAGCATTCATGAAGCCCTGGGTTTGATTCTTCAATACCACATGAACAGAAAAAGCCAGAAGAGGTGCTGTAGCTTAAGTGGTAGAGTGCTAGCCTTGAGCATCAGCTCAGGGACAGTGCTCAGGCTCTGAGTTCAAGCCCCAGGACAGGTAATAATTAAAAAAATAAAATAATACTTTAGTTGGTCTTTTGTTTACATACAAACAAACAAAGCTAAAAATCTTGTTCAGTAAAGGACTAATTGAGATGGTGAGGAGCTAAATTGTGCTGTGATACATCAAGAGTTGTAGTTAGGGCTGGGAAGGTGTCTTAGAGGTAGAGTGCTTGCCCTAGCATGCCTAAAGCCCAAAGCTAGCAGGGTGCTAGCTTTGAGCAAACGAAGCCCAGGTACAGTGCCCAGGCCCTAGAGAGAGTTATAGCTACTAGGGCCATTAAATTGGTTTAGAGTGCCTCCTGATGGCTGAAAAATGTAAAAAGATTGGCAGTTATTTGTACCACCCTTAAAAGTATTTACACATAGGGGCTGGGAAAGTGGAGGGTCAGCGCCCAGGCCCAGAGTTCAGGCCCCACGACTGGACCCCCCCCCCAAAAAAAAAGTATTTACACATAATCATGTTACTCATGGGTCTTATACTTTCTTTTTTTTTTTGTCCGGTCGCGGGGCCTGAACTCTGAACCTGGGCGCTGTCCCTCAGCTCTTCAGCTCAAGGCAAGCACTCTACCACTTGAGTCACAGCACCACTTCCGGCTTTTTCTCTTTTTGCTTATGTGGTGCTGAGGAATCGAACCCAGGGCCTCAGGCATGCAAGGCAAGCGCTTTACCACTGAGCCAACTTCCCAGCCCGGGTCTTATACTTTCTGTCATGCTTTTTTTTTTTTTTGCCATTCCTGCTAACCTATTCTAGTGTTGTTACTCTTATGCTTTTGAGTGCTAAAGACTTATGGGATAGGCTGACAGACCCAGAGGGTTAAAGCATCAAGCCCTGAGAACCAGAGATCTATGGATCAAGTTCTTAGAAGTCAGAGACTTCTAGGTACTTTGGTTAGAGGCTTACTGATGATCTCCATTGGCCCAGCATATTGCAACTAGTAAAAATCCTTGGCTCTAAACAGCAGCTAATGACAGCAGCAGGCAATGCTTGCTAGTATTTCAGCTCCCAGCAGGCCTGAGGTATTGGGTCCCCTCAGTTCTTACAGTGGCTAATGTTCCAACTCTTAAAGCATAGGGTGTCAGAACTTGACTCTTGACAGTGGCTAATGTTACAGCTCTCAGGTTTAGGGTACCATGACCTTTAACCCATAATTCTTGGAAGTTCTCATCCTTGGCTTTTCACAGTCTTCTGTTTTCCTTCAGCCTGGGCTCTTCACCCTCTCCTCTCTTGTCTGTACTGCTTCTGCTCGCCATCACCTCTGTTATGCCCACTGCAACTATCTGACTGCTTCTGTACTGTTGCTCTTTATATTATCACCTCAGGCTAAGCTACTCCTTATAAAAATCACAGGGAGGCTGGGCAGCGGTGGCTCACACCTGTAATCCTAGTTACTCAGGAGGCTGAGATCTGAGGATTGAGGTTCAAAAACAGCCTGGGCAGGAAAGTCTGTGAGACTCTTATCTCCAATTAACCACCAGAAAATTGGAAGTGGTGTTGTGGCTCAGATGGTAGAGCACTCACCTTGAGTTGAAAAGCTCAGGTACAGCGCTTAAGCCCAGAGTTCAAGTCTCATGACCAAAAAATTAAAAAAAAAAAATCACAGGTAGATGGGGTACCAGTGGCTTACTTCTGTAATTCTGGCTATTCAGGAGAGTGAGGGCAGTAAAGTCCATGAGACTCTTAGCTCTAATTAACTACCAAA